TTTTTCATCCAAATGCTTTTTTACATATTCTTTTTTAAAGTCTTCTTTTCTTTATACAAATTTTTATTTTCTACTGTCATATTTGACAAAAGTTTTAACCTAGCTTGATTTCTTTTCTGGTATACTTTTTTACATTATTTACTGTACCAGTACAATCTTTGAGTTTTTTCAGCTTTCCCTAACTTTTCTTTCACATTTGTTCATGTTCTTCTTATATTTTCCAGCTCTCGCCTACATCGTCTACTTTTTCTTTCTTCTCCTTTGTCTTTTTCTACCAACTTTTGAGTTGAAATCGACTACTACTTTATAGCATACTTGGGAATGATATTTATGACCTTTTTTACTACTTCGTAATAAACCTTATCTTTTTCTTCTATGGTTTTCCCTTCAGTTGGGGCATGGACAATAATTAGGATGTTTTTTTTCTGAACTTATCACTTAGCCTAAGAGGCAGAATATGTCGTTAATTGCTTTAAAATATATCACCTTTTTGTATCAGTTCCTGATATTGATCCTGATATTGATCATCTCTTAGTACGTATAATTAATTCAGTTATTGGTAACGACAAAAAAAATTAATATTTTATGTGTACCTATAAATTTCTTATATTTACTTTTTTGGAATTTAGTTTAAAAATAGTGTACTGTAAAAATAAAACGGTAAAACAAAAATTGATTGGGCCTCTATTGACTGGGTTACAATTTTTTTTATTTAACTTTAAAATGGAGGACATCATTTCTATATTATATATATATATATATATATATATATATATATATATATATATATATATATATATATATATATATATATAATATAAAATTAATGTTTCTTGGGTTTAAGTTCAATAAAGATATGTTACATGTGGAACTAGATTGTATTTTCCATTGCAATCAATCAACGTTTCGGCAGGAAACCCTTGCCTTTGTCAAGATTCAAAACGTAAAACGTGACACAGACATTAACGAACTCTTTATTGAACCTAAACCCAAGAAACATTAATTTTATATTAAATATAATACGGTTCAAGAAACTCAAAACTACAATATATATATATATATATATATATATATATATATATATATATATATATATTGATTTATAGTATCATCAATCGGTCTGTAGGAAATAAAACTCTATTTGTTTTATGTCTCAATATTTCTTCAAAACGTATACATATTAAATGTCTAATATATAATATATAAATGTAACTTTTGTCCCAATTTTCAAAACATTTCCGAATATTAAATTAATTAAATATAATCTACTTCAACATTCAAGGTTATTCTCAATATAAAAGATAAAACTCCAAATTTACTAATGAGTAACATAAATTACCAAATAAATTGCAGTCAATGTGAAAGTTGTTATATTGGTCAAAGTCAACAGTGGCTTAGACAACGTGACACACCAAGTATCTATAGTATCTACATCTCAAAAACTCTTGTGCCTTAGTGGACCACCACTTGAAGACAGGACATATCTTTTACTTTAATAATGTAAAAATCTTGGAACAAGTTTCCTTAAAATGGTACACAATAACAAAACTCCTGAATCTACAAATTATAAAGACTACCTTCATCCATTCAAGTAATATCTACTCTAACATATTAAACAACATATGATATGATAGATCCTAAACTTTAAAAACAAACTCACTTAATAATCTTTAAGTGTAACTCTATCTACAATTTTATTCCATTTATAAATATCACTATTACAATAACTGACTACGTACCATCAATAACATTTTATTGATCAATTTAACGTTTCTGATTATTTCTCATTCCTCTACTATTAAATGCATCTTTCCACCTTATAATACCGATGATACTGTCATAATTGTTTACTTTAACTTATTCGCTAAAAATTTTCCAATATAAGAATTCACTCTATAAAATATAATGCATTGCGGTTACCATACCTTCTAAATAAATTATTAAAATCAAGCAAATGTCATTTAGATATGTTAACAAAATTGTAATTTTTACTCTTTTAGTTGTAAGTATTTGAAATATTCACTTTGTTTACATAGAATAATTATTCTAATAAATTTATAGTTTTCTTCTAAAGAAGTCACAAAATCGTGATGAAATATTGAGACATAAATCAAATAGAGTTTTATTTCCTACAGACCGATTGCTGATACTATAACTAATTTGGAAAAAACTTACAATGGGCTATATCTCACGAACAAAAGCTAATTTTGAAAAATGCTTAAAACCGTTTCTATGATAGCAAGGAGGAACTAAAATGACATGAAAGAGAATTCACCCCTATCAATCAACCCCTAGGCCCCACCACCTCAGCCAAAAAAGTTTAAATTGCAAACCCCTACGTTTGATACATCATTGAAAAGACTATAAAAAATGCTATTCAATGGTATAAATAATAATTATACAGGGTAAAGCACTAATTGTGAAACTTTGGCTTAAATGGAAAATTAAATGAGGTTTTTGTTGATTCTGTTGATGACCCTGTATAATTATTGTTTAATAAGTATACTTGGTGTTAATATCAACCGGCTTACTATGACTTTTGTATTTGTAATGCTATCTCCTGGACTATTATTTTTAATGATAAGTGCTCGTCGGAATTTTTATTGGTTAAATAAAATCTTAATTTGCAGTTGTTGCAAAACAAGTTGAAAACATTGTTTTTGGGTTCTGCCAGATTCAATAATTTTTGGTTTATTTGAGAATTTTAAATGTCATTAGTTTTCATCATTTGTACGATCGGTACTGTCATTCAACTGTAGTTGCCACGATGGTTTACAGTATACTTGAACGCGTGAAGATCATTTTCATATTTGCCTCCCAGAACCAGTGTTATTTACGAACAGCTCAAATATTTCACGAAAGGCATCCGGACAAAAATGTAAGTCACGTGTACGTCCACGTTTTAGTTGAAAAGTTTAGGGAAACGGGATCAATGCAAAATAAGAAAAGGGATGCCCCAAGATTACTGAATGAAGCATCCCAAATTGAAGTACCTGGAAATTTTGCAATAGAGCCTACTGCATCAACACGTCAAGTATCTGCAATGACAGGCAATTTAAGTGTCGACATTTATCTCGATATGCTGGAAAACACCATCGAACCTTTAATTGTGCATGAATTAGAGAACCAAAAGGACGATCAAGGCAACCTAGCTCTAGACGAAGATTTGCTGCACTTCCAACAAGATGGAGCACCTCCTCACTATGCAGCTCCGGTTAGGGACTGGTTGGATACTAATTATCCTAATAAATGGAAGGAGAGGTCCTATTGATTGGCCACCGAGGTCACCAGACTTACCGCCACATGACTTTTTTCTATGGGGTTACATCAAGTCAGTTGTTTATAAAACTCAACCTGCATCGCTTGGGGAATTGCGAGAAAGAATTACGTAAGCATGTCGCGCTATTACTAGAACAACATTTTCCAAAGTTCGTGCAGAATTTGAAAATAAGCTGTATTATTGTTTGTACTATACAAAGCAACGAAACCCACTTTGAACATTTACCTAATTGACATTTTTAACAAATTTGTAGTTCAACAAAAACCTCATTAAATTTTTCATTTAAGCCAAAGTTTCACAGTTATTACTTCACCCTGTATAATTATTATTTATACCATTGGATAGAATTTGTTAGTCTTTTCAATGATGTATCACACGTAGGGGTTTGCAATTTAAACTTTTTTGGTCGTCGACATCGTCTCTTCAGGATTGTCTTGGTCTACCTCGTTTTCTTCTAGTTGGCGGAGTCCATTCTTCTATTTTTTTTGCCATCTATTTTCCGGCATTCTCTGAAGGTTTCCATACCAATTAAGTCTTTTGGCTTCGATTGTGTCTATTATGTCTAGATCGATTTCCATTTCTCTCCGAATATCTTCGTTTCTCACCCTATCAAGTCTTGTGAGCTGGCAACATCGTCTCCAGTAGTTCATTTCCATGGCCTTAATTTTTTATTTGTTTCTTTGATATATTTCCCAGAATTCGGCGCCGTACAGCCCAATACTTTCTATTATTGTTTTATAAATTCTTTTATTTTCTTTTGTTATTTTTTTGTTCCATAATAATCCGTGTAGCTGTCTGGTGGCTGATCTTGCTTGGCCAATCCTGGAATGTATTTCTTCGCTACATCCTGCTTTTGATGTTATTTGGACTCCCAAGTATTTAAAATTGTCTGTTGGTTTTATAGTTCCCATTTCGATTTGTAGCCTTTCTGGTTTGTCTCCTACAACTAAGTACCTAGTTTTTGGTATATTGATTGTGAGGCCCCATTTGGTGTACTCATCTTTTAGTTTTGTACACGATACAGCGAAGTGTATCGTGTACAATATATCATCTCCGATTGGGATGCCCATAGTGCAACACTTTCTTCTCCACAGAGAGTGCCTCATTTAGATATATTTTGAAAAGTGTAGGTGCTATGCAGCAGCCTTGGTTTAGGCCCTTACTAATAGGAATTTCTCTAGTTAATCTATATCCAGTTTTAATATTTGCCGTCATATTTTTGTAGAGCTGTTGTACTGCTTGTATATTTTTTTTGCTTATTCCTTGTTTTTCCATTGCTACCCAAAGCATTGAAAGTGGTACACTATCGTATGCCTTTGTCAGATCTATAAAGACTATACGAGTTGAAAGGTTGTGGGCTAATCTTTTCTCGATAACTTGCTTTAGAGAGAATATACTGTCCATACAGGATCTGCCTGCACGAAAGCCATTCTGTTCTTCTACATATGTCATTTCTTTTTTAATTTTATTTTTTATTATTTTTCCATACAGTCTTGAGAGTGAAACTTAGTCCCCCGTAGTTTGAACAATTCTTTCTATCTCCTTTTTTATAGATGTTGTTAATAAGTGCTTTTGTCCACTCCGGTGGTAAGTCGTGTCCATTATAGAATAAGGTGAAGACATACGCCAGTAATGACCGTAATACTTGTGGGCTATGTGACAAATATTCAATATAATGTCCTTTAAGGTGCACTTATTTACTAAAGCTTACTATGTGCAGGTTTCATAATAAGGAACGACCTTTCATCTGCATCCAATGCAACAAAACATTCGTGACTAGTTCTCATCTGCGAGTTCACGACAAATCTCATACCGGAGAAAAACCACACAAGTGTATCATTTGCTACAAAGCATTTACGAGGAGTGAGCATCTGAAGTCCCATTTGGTAATTCATAGCGGTAGGAAACCTTATCAATGCAAGCTATGCCCAAAAAAGTATACTCAAAGTAGTCACCTGAGAAGACACGCCAAAGCAGTACATGAAAACAAAGAGGCCATAGAAATATATGAGAACAAAGAGACCATAGAAGTATATGACAACGAGACCATAGAAGTACCCAAGAAAGAAGAACATATGTTCATTTATGATTGATGAATATATATATATATATATTATATATATATATATATATATATATATATATATATATATATATATATATATATATAGTAATTTTCAGGTACATTGGTTTCAAATAAAAATCTTTGTTTTTTCTAAATTACAAAAAAATGATGTACAAATAGATTTAAAAATACTCACAGGAATTAAACGATTTCACAAATAAAAACTGACATTGTAGTATGTAAAATATTAAATGTCAAGATTAAACTGTCTTAAGCATTGACATTAATCTTGACTTTCAATATTTACATACTTTAATGTCAGTTTGTATTTGTAAAATCTTTTAAATTCTGTAAGTGTTTTTAAATCTATAAATCTATAAAACAAAACTAATCTAGTGTTGTTTTACAGTGTACTCCTGATGAAGCTATCAAATAAATAGCGAAATATTGAGTTTTGTAGAAAAAACAAAACAAAAACAAACATTTTTAGTTGGTAGACATTGATTTGTTTATGAATTTTAATATGATATGTACCATCACAAATCACAACCAATATTTAAAAGTAATAAAGTATTTAATGTGTTATAGTGTAAATATGTATTTAGGAATATATTATATATAAATATGTATCGAATAAATGGGATATAATTGTGTAAATATTTACTGACCTAGTTAATCTTGACCTTTTTCACCTTTAGAAAAACCTAAGGCTTTGATTTTAAAATTAGTATGTCTTGGGTTTAGGTTCAATAAGAAATGTTAAATTTGGAACTAGATTTTAATATACTATTTATATTAAAGTTTTGGCAGGCAATCCTTGCCTTTGTGAAGATTCTAAAATATAAGATTGAGAACAAGAAGTGACATTGCTCAGTCGGCTCTAGAAGATTTAGAAGAATCTGTCGTGGGTCACTTAGACCTTAATATACCATTCTTCTGCCGCTGTATCGGTGACTGTCTCTGTGCTATCTCAACAAATAAAATGAACGAAATTTAAATAATTTTAACAGTTAACATCCAAGACTAAATTTTACTATTGAAATTGAACAGAACAATAAAATAAATTTTCTGGATGTCACTTTACATCGCATTAGTAACACAATTAAAACTGTGGTTTACAAAAGAAACATGGTCTTCACGATATATTGTCATCCATTCTCCCATAAGAAGTCTGTAATTATAAGTTTTGCCGATAAATCTATAAAACTAACACATCCACAAAATACAGACCACCTGTAATAAAAGAATGCCCTCCTAAGTAAAGCGTATCCTGAACATCCAATCGAAACTGTTTTTTAAATGAAAACTAAATAAATTTTACAATAATACCAATACCAATTACACAAGTGGTAATAGTTGCTCATAAAGGCAACAATCTTTCAAAAATATTTCACTAAACTGAAGGAAACATGCGGACGCACTGTTTATTTGGAGTAGCTGGGTCGTGAATGGCAAGGGAGTTGGATTGGGGAACTACAAAAAAATGAAACAAAGGGGTACTTACATGAATATCCTGGAACAAATGGACAAACAAAACAACAGAAAAGACCTCCAGTTATTTAAAATGGATGCCGCTTCGAGGTGCCAAATTATAAGGATTACAACGACTACTTGTAACTATTGAAATAATTATTAGAAATGAAAAATATGTCTCTGAATGAAACTCACAAAAGGAGTTAGTTAAGTAACAAACAAAATGGTTTAGAAAAAAAATTATTAAATATTTAATGTTGTCTCACCACAAACAGTTACAAAAATAGACAATACAAAAATACTATATTAATAGTTATAGAAGTAAATACAAAAATAACAAAGAGAAACACTTACTATGTCCTAGCAGTTTACAAACTCTAGGAATTGGGGATACTCCAAAAACTTACAAATGTTACTGCATGGAGGTTAACCTTCTTTAGAAACAAAACAAACATGTCAAAAAATAATAAAGCTAGCTGCCATATGTCAATATTAACTAACAACTAAAATTTACAATTTTAAATATTACAATTATTAACCTATATAAAAGCAATTATTGTTATTAAAAAAATGTCTATCGTTACTTTAAAAGTTCAAATAAAAAATGTTGCCTTAGTCCTGAGTTTCACTTAAATGCACTTAAATTTTTGGGGGGTGGAAACTAGACTTCACTGGAATTTCTAGGGGTATAACTGGGTTTCACTGGAATTTCTGGAGTTAGAACTGGGCTTACACTCTCTGTGTAACGAACAAATTCATCTCCAAACTGCCAAAAAGTCTGAGATGACAACCAAGGAGAAACAAAACAAGGATCTAAACAATTCTTCCAAACCTCACTTAACACTGTAACTGCCACAATACACGACATATTTGTCATAAAAAGGGACGAAAAACAAGAAACATTACAAATTTGACGTGAAATTTGGATAACGCTGAAGACAACCGCTCTTGATAACGGCCTCAGCGAGAGAAGAATTATCTTTCCGGCAAAACCTTCTCATCGATCTAAATGAATGTTTATTTGAAACGCAGAATATTAAGCGGCTTCGATCAAAGAAAATACCAAAGAATATGCGTCTGTGAAATATAAACAAAGCATAAAATGGTTTATAATCGACCTTGGCGACGCAAATAAAAGGATTGAAATCACTTTTGGGTATTTTAACTTGTACGATAGGAACAGAGATACATGGAAAATATTCTTCGGTATTTTAATACATACGATAGGAAACATTGAAATACACTGAAATTATTCTTCGATGTTTTAAATAGATACGAGGGGATTTCAATATATACCAAGGAATTTACAAATTCTACAAAATATGACAAGAACAACACCACTGCGCTCACAAAGCATGAGAATAAGAGGGAGCATACGTTTGACTTCGAATGCATCAAAATTTAGAAAACCGAGCAAAACAAAAAGAAGAGTGAGATATACGAATCAATAGAAATAAAAAAGAAACACTAACGCAATCAATGACAATAAAAAACAAACATTCTAAATAAAATATATTTTAATCTGATTTAAATAATAATAAATATAATACCGTAAAAACTCTTAAAGTTGTAACATATCTCCACTTTACCTCTTTTGAAAATAGCAAAGATACGCCCATGTAAACAATTAAACTTTAGTTATTAGCAATGAGATATCAGATATCAGTCAATTTTTACTCTCTGTCAGTTCATTAATGTTAGTGTCTCGCTTTACGTTTGGTAAGTTTTTATTTTACAATATTTTTTTATTATAAATCTTGACAAAGGCAAGGATTGTCTGTTAAAACATTGATTTAAATGGGCATCTTGAAATGAAGTTTCAAATTTAACATTACTTATTGAACCTGAACCCAAGAAAAAATGATTTTATATTAAGACATTATCAGAAGTCACAACAGAAACTTATGCATCCGACACAGCAGTAATCTCTTCTGGTGAATATCCAGCCGTAGCATCACACAGAGTACAAGTTAATCTAAATGCAATACAAACACGTAACAGTGACAGACCGCAAGGGAAACTGTTCTCCGGTATCTTTAAATGGCTAACCTCTCCCACAGAAAGACGACATAAATTACTTGGAAATATGTTTGGACCGCAGGCTCACATGAAGAAAACACATCTTTTCAAGCGAAAACAGCTGGGCCTTAAACTCAGACTATATTGGTTAATATGTCGTAAGTCTTGTAGTGACATCCTTAAGAGATTCCAATCGAAAGTTATCCGAATGATAACGAATGCTCCATGTTACGTTTTAAGCAAGACGATCGCACGAGGCCTCAAAATGACAACTGTCAACGAAGAAATCACCAAACTCTGCCAACGATATGAACAGAGACTAACGGAGCACCCCAATAATCTAGCCCACAATTTAATGACTGAACCAATCGGACGAAACCGCAAACGAAAGAACCCAGTCGACCTGTTAACTATAAACTATTATAGTAGAAACCTAACCAAACTCTAAGACATACGTGAGACTATTCCAGTGTCAAGGATACGCAAGAAATTTTCAAAAAATACTTATTTCTGTTATAATTGTCTGGATACGGTATATTTTTCTAAGTGCTGATTTGTAGCAATTACATTTTCCTTATTGCTGACAGTTGAAGCCCTGGATGGTGTGCAAGCTAAAGACAGTTGTATAAAAATTCTCGCATCTTTTACTTTTGGATCAAGTCCTATCAGACTTATGATTAAAATATCTCTAAAACCTGTAAAAGGAATAACTGCCAATTAGAAAGGATCTTTACATTAAAAAAATGCATTACAAACAGGTATTAGGTGAAATATAATCTTTTTGTACAAAAAAAATAGTTTTATTTGGCTTGAGTAATACGCATTTATTGAATCACATCTATATATGCCGTACATTTATGTATTGTATACAGCGACTTCTGCATGTTTAATTTTTTGGACTCTGTGTTTAAATATCATGTTAATTTTCTGTGGTAGAAATTTTCTAGTAGTGATAGTCGGTACTTCACGTCTATCCCTCCACTTGGATAGATAAACTTTACGTTGTCTCTTCCAAACATGTTCTTCTTGTAAAGGTGTTCTTATAAAAAAAATATTACATAGTATATATTTTTTTATTATTAAAAGTGGGTATATTAATTTCTGTCATATCCAACTGTAGTTATAGTAGGAAGAAAATGAATAATTTTATATTCAAAGTGAAAATCAGTTTTGATCAGCCCCGAAAATCTAGAGAATTCAAGGTTTTTTATCCAAGATCCTACAAAAAAATTGCCTTTTATGTACACTCATGAAATACATATTAATTAGTCCTCAGGGGTCCGAATGAAGATTCTGAAGAGGAATTTTAAATTTAATAAGCAAAAATGCAATTATTTTAAACAGAAATGATCTTAAAACCACTTTTAAAAAAGATTGGATGACAGAGGGACTTTTAAAGCCTGTACATGTAAAACATAGATTGTATGATCAGCTAATCCAAGATCCCTCATATAACTTAAAAAAAACAACGGTATACAGATTATAAAATAAATTAAGACTTTTAGTTAAAACTGCAAAATGAAATTATACAAAACG